TTTTTCTCCCCCTCCTCATTTTTGAATCTCTGAAGTTACACGTTGTTTGTTTTGTTGGCGGTTTACAGAGTGATGGCAATACGATTTTGTTTCGCTGCCAATTGGCAATGCATGCGTATACGGGTGCAGTGTTTCCTCCACACATACGCACAACTCCTCCTGTAGTTGTCATTGTGTGTGTGTGTGTGTTGTTGTTGTTTTTTCCTCTATCTAATTGTATGGATTTTGTATTTTTCCTTCTTTTTCTTCCTCTCCCTTTATTTGTCCCTCTTGTTGCTTTTGTTGTTTTGTTTTGTTGTGGGTTGAAACCCGTGTCGTGCGTATCTTGTAGACGAACGCTGCCACACACACACAAAAAAAAAAAGGGAGGGGGGGGGGAGGGCGGTGATTGCACAAACACACACACACACAGAAAGAGAGAAAAAGAGACAGACAGACAGACAGCGATGTCGGCTGATGAACGATTTGACACCATGCTGTTGGCTATTGCCCAGCAACACGATGGGATTGATTCCATCCTTGACACCTTCTTCTCCTTTCTTGGGAGGAAAACAGACTTTTTCACGCAACCGCAAAAGGCTCGAGAGTCTGTACAGCGGGCGCTGGAGCGTCATCTAGTGCGAGCCGAAGAGAGGCTGCAGAAGAAGCAGACAGAGGAGGCGCTACGAAAGCAGAAAGACGCTGCTTCACGAGTGGAGGTGTTGGAGGACGAGGAAGAAGCGGCATCCAAGGCAGCCGCTAAAGCAGCAGCAGAGGCCGCCAAGCGCAAGGCGGAAATGGAGAAGGCGGCCAATGCGGTAGCCAACGCCAAGGAAGACGAGGATGGTATGAAGCCAAAAGGACTTCCTCCGACCGCAGGCAATGGATTTGACTACGAGCATTACATGTTTTCCCAAACTCTGCAGGAGGTGGAGGTGCGAGTGCCGTTACCCATTGCAAATGCCAAGGGAAGAGACCTTGATATCGTGCTGCAGCAGCGCCATATGCGTGTTGGAATGAAAGGGAAAACGCCCATTGTGAATGGTGATCTCTACGCCGCCGTAAAGGCTGAAGAGTGCATGTGGACTATAGAGGATGGTTCTACGGTTGTTATCACGCTCACGAAAATGAACCAGATGGAATGGTGGAAGACCGTCATTGCCGGTGATGCGGAAATCGATCTACAGAAGGTGGTGCCGGAGAATTCCAAGTTAGATGATCTTGACAGTGAAACGCGACAGACGGTGGAGAAGATGATGTACGATCAGCGTCAGAAAGCGATGGGTTTGCCAACGTCGGAGGAGCAGCAGAAGCGGGACATGCTGGCAAAATTTATGGCGGCACACCCAGAAATGGACTTTTCACAGGCAAAGATCTGTTAACATGATGGTGATGATGATGATGATGCCTGCTTTGCCTGTGAAATGAGTTCACCGTAGGCAATTCTGCCGTCTGTTTTTATTTTCCTCTTCTTTTTTATTATTTATTTATTTATTTATTTATTTATTTAAATAAAAAACTACACACGCACACGAATACACGCACGAAAAGGAAAAAAAAAAAAAAAACGATAAAAATTGGAGAAAAGAAGAGATTTGAGGGGGGGAAAAAAAAACAAAAAAAACTTAAAGGAAAAAAAGGAATAAAAAAAAAAAAAAAGAGGCGTCTTATTTCCACTAAATTTTTTTTTTTCTTTTTTTTTACCGATTTTATTTCTGTCATTTCTGATATGAAAAGACGACAAAAATTTTATTGACGCAATAAAAAAGAAAGAAAGAAAGGAGGAGGAGGGAAAACGAGGAATCAAAAAAAAAAAAAAAAAAAAAAAAAAAAAGAAAATGGGGGCGGGTGAATTGTGTGGGGGTCCTGCGGTTCTCATTCTTTACTCCGCCTTCTTCTCTGCCCCTCGCTGTCAGTCTCTTTTTTTTTTTTTTTTTCTGTCATTTCCGTTTGGGGGGATCGTCATGGCAGTAGGCCCCAGACACGCAGCAGAGTGTGTGAGAGAGAGAGAAGAGGAGGCATCCAACAAACAAACAAAAAAAAGGAGGGCGCCATTTCCACATGTGTTGCCGATGTGACAGGGAAAAGACGATGGTTCGATTGAGGGAGAAGAACAGAGCGGCTCCGTGAACATTCGTCGCGGCTGGAAACGATGCACGCCGCTGGTGCAGCCCGCATGTCTCCTTTCCCTCCCTTTACATTCCAACACGCCGTGTCATTTGCACTTTTGGCAGGGCGGGGGGGGGGGGGGGGGGGTGTAAGCGCCTTTGGTTTGGTTGAGCGGTAATTCCAAAGGGAAATATTCTGCCATTGAAGCAAAGGCATATAAAAAGAAAGAAAAAAAAACCATCCGTGTGTGTAAGTGTGTGTCACCATGCTCCCCGGTAACAGCTGAAATAAAGTTAATGTTGGCAGGGTTGATCGGAGAGAAGTTGCGGGCGGTGCAAAGGCCAAAAAAGAAAAGAAAAAAAAAAACATTTATTTATTTTTATTTATTCTTTTTTTTTTTTTTTCTTCCAACTGCGAGAGCGCAATAAATTGAAAGCAAAAATAATAAAATAAAATAAAATAAAGGGGGAAAAAGGGGGTGACAAAAAGGAAAAAGTAAGAGTTAGCTAGACACAGACAATGAAAGTCTTTTTTATTACAAAAATATGTTTATGGTGTGTGTTTACGCTAAATGGCATGCTTATTGGGCCCATATCCACGGTGACAGGATCCCTGCTGGATCCAGTCGTGCCCAATCCGTCCCCCATGCATGTTGGGATCATGTGCATTCCCCTTTATGGTCATTGGAGGCCTTTGCGATCTGTTGGAGAGGCCTTCACAGAACGTGGACATTATGTTACGTATTTTGTTGAAAACCCTCTATGGTGTGAGGAGATGATGCATCATGATGAGAACACAACAAATTGCATTATAATCCCCTCACGTGGCGCGTTTATGGATCCTACTTTTTTTGAGAAAATGAGCCTTGAACCTTATCCCCAGAAGACGTTGTTTGGTTTTTTGAGGGAAACCGTTCGTCATCATACTTTACATCTTGGTGATTATCTTAAGGAAGCCCAGAACTTACATGCCAAGCGTCCAATAAGTGTATTAATTAGTGATGCAAATACCATCGTTGGTGGGTCTGTGGCACGTGCATTGGATATTCCTTCTGTAATTTCCGTTCCATTAACATCATCAATCCAGTTGGGTATCAACAACCGTATTCCAAATATGGGAAGTGGCTTTCCTGCACGAATGAACATTGGACAACGATTGCTAAATTATATTTCATTGAGTGCGTTTTTTGTATTTCCTCCTTCATTAGATCCTTTTAATAGCCAACGAGCACTTTACAACATTCCGCCCCTTCGTGATTGGAATGAGTTGGGAGGATTCTATGACACGGTGTTACTGCCTTTTATTTGGGGGTTGGATATTCCACAGGAATTATGCCCAAATTTCCATCCACTTGGATTACTGTCTTTTAAGAAAGACCGCATTCCACCCATGGAAAAGGAACTTTCCACATTTCTACATCATTGTACAACAGGTGCCATTTACGTTAACTTTGGGACATTGGTTTCCCTCAATCCTCGCCAAGTTGATCGTATTGCCAAAGCACTTGAACAACTTCCGTATTGTGTCATTTGGAAGATGAAAGATAAACAAAAAAAGGATCTCCCGCAAGGATACTTGAAAAAAATGAAAGAGAAATTATTTATTCGTTCCTATTTTCTTTCTCCTATGGAAATTATGCGTCATAAAAGTCTGTTGGTGTTTATATCACATTGTGGTGATACCTCTATACATGAAGCACTTGAGGCACAATTACCCGTTGTTGGTATCCCTTTCTTTGCCGATCAACCCGATGTTTGTCAACGTTTAGAAGAAGCAGGTGTGGGAAAATACGTCGGACATAAAGATGTATTTAATATTGAAGATTTATTACATGCAATACAATGGGTTGTGCAACATTTGGAACAAATAAAAAAAAAAATGAAACAACTTATTCGTATTTCCAACTTCCTTGGAGGTGCAGAAAGGGCTGTTGACATTATTGAAAGTCGTTACCGCAATCAACTTCTTAGAAGAAATGAATCTTTTGAAAGATGTGTGATATTTAATGAGAATGTGGAGTTGGAAACACGTCCAGTTCGTAAGGCACAACTTGATATTTTATTTTTATGGTTTTTTGTACTTGTCCCGTTATGGCTTTTTGTTTTTAACTGCATTGGGAAATGTTTATTTTGTCTTGAGGGAATCATGCGGTCAAACAAAACTTCACCTTTGAAAAAGGCATCGCACTTCAGCGTCTCCCCAAGACCAACACAACGTGAGAAGACGGATTGACATGAAACGTCCGTTTCTCCGTATTTTACGCCTTTTTTTTTTTTTTTCTTCTGAAACTCTTCTGAAAAGAGCAACGACGGCAAGGATGACTGCCCAAAATATACACATGCATGCATGCGTACGTAAAGATATATATTTATATACCAGTGATAAAAGGGAGGACAATTTTACGTGCGATTCTTTTCTTCTCCCTCCCTCTCCCTCTCTTTCTTTCTTTCTTTCTCTATTCCTCTCTTTTGTTTTTTTTTGTTTTTTTTGTTCTCTTTTTAATTTTTGGTTGACTGCGATGGAAAGAATCAAAAAGAACCGATGACGATCAGATGAGTTTCATTTTATTACTTTTTTTTTTTTTTTTTTTTTTGATTCCCACCGCTGGCGGCAGGGTATTGTGGCTAGAGGAAGCTAAAGCATTCCGCTTTTTAAGGAATAATATCTCCAATTCTAACAGATTACACCGTGTCTTGAGAGAGGTTATCGGAATATATACTTGGGATAAACATCGAGGGTATGACGAGGCCACTGCCTTTCTATTGCCCCCTTCTTTTTTTCCGTTCTATTTATATAGACAAGCTCAGGATTCAGCCAGCAGCACAGGCAAATATTCAACGTAATTAAACAGGCGTTACCTTCACACGGAAATATCAATCACGAGTCAAAATTCAAGCGTCAAGGTGAAAAGAATGCCCCGATTGCTCCTTTACGTGCTTGTTTTGTTTTTCCTTTTGAATTTTTGCCCCAATGTGCCTGCTCATGCCCTGGCACCCGAATCGAGTCGAATTGAGCTGTTTAAGCGTAGGAATTCGACGGTGCCGTTTGAAGACAAGGGCAAAGTCACCGAGCGGGTTGTCCACTCGTTCCGCCTTCCCGCCCTTGTTAATGTGGACGGGGTGATGGTTGCCATTGCAGACGCTCGCTACACGACATCCAATGACAACTCCTTTATTGATACGGTAGTGAAGTACAGCGTGGACGATGGGGAGACGTGGGAGACTCAAATCGCCATCAAGAACAGTCGTGTATCGTCTGTTTCTCGTGTGGTGGATCCCACAGTGATTGTGAAGGGCAACAAGCTTTACGTCCTGGTTGGAAGCTACAATAAATCGAAAAACTACTGGACTTGGCAGCCTGATGGAAGCGACTGGGATATTCTGCTTGCCGTTGGTGAGGTTACGAAGTCCACTGCAGACGGCAAGACAACTGCGAATATCACATGGGGGAGTCCCGTGTCACTGAAGGAATTTTTCCCGGCATACATGGAAGGAATACCTACAAAGCAATTTCTCGGCGGTGCAGGTGTTGCCACTGTGGCGTCCAATGGGAATCTTGTGTACCCTGTGCAGGTTACGGACATGAAAAAACAAATTTTTTCCAAGATCTTTTATTCGGCAGATGAGGGCAAGACGTGGAATTTCTCAGAGGGTAGGAGCGATTTTGGCTGCTCCGAACCTGTGGTTCTTGAGTGGAAAAATAAATTCATCGTAAACACCCGGGTTGACCGGGCGCGCCGTCTGGTGTACAATTCCGGTGACATGGAGAGACCGTGGGTGGAGGCTGTCGGCACGCTCTCGCGTGTGTGGGGCCCCTCACCAAAATCGGACCAGCCCGGCAGTCAGAGCAGCTTCACTGCCGTGACCATCGAAGGAATGCGTGTGATGCTCTTCACACACCCGCTGAATTTTAAGGGAAAGTGGCTGCGCGACCGACTGAACCTCTGGCTGACGGATAACCAGCGCATTTATAACGTTGGGCAAGTATCCATTGGTGATGAAAATTCCGCCTACAGCTCCGTCTTGTACAAGGATGATAAGCTGTACTGTTTGCATGAGATCAACACTAACGAGGTGTACAGCCTTGTTTTTGCGCGCCTGGTTGGCGAGCTAATGATTATTAAATCCGTGCTGCAGTCCTGGAAGAATTGGGACAGCCACCTGTCCAGCATTTGCACCCCTGCTGATCCCGCCACTTTGTCGTCAGAGCGTGTTTGTGGTCCCGCTGTCACTACGGTTGGTCTTGCTGGCTTTTTGTCCGACAATGCCACCCAAAACGTATGGGAGGATGCGTACCGCTGCGTCAACGCAAGCACGGCAAATGCGGAGAAGGTTCCGAACGGCTTTAAGTTTGCGGGGGTTGGCGGAGGAGCACTTTGGCCGGTGAGCCAGCAGGGGCAGAATCAACGGTATCACTTTGCAAACTACGAGTTTACGCTGGTGGCTTCGGTGACGATTCACGAGGTTCCGAGGGACGCGACTCCTCTGCTGGGTGCGAGCCTGGACTCTTCTGGCGGCGAAAAGCTCCTGGGGCTCTCGTACGACGAGAAACACCAATGGCAGCCGATATACGGATCGACACCGGCGACGCCGACGGGATCGTGGGAGGTGAACAAGAAGTACCACGTGGTTCTTACGATGGCGAATAAAATGGGCTCCGTGTACATTGATGGAGAACCCCTAGCGGGTTCAGGGCAGACCGTTGTGCCAAACGAGGGCACGCCTGACATTTCCCACTTCTACATTGGCAGTTATAACAGCAGTAATATGCCTACGGAAAGCCATGTGACGGCGAAAAACGTTTTTCTTTACAACCGTCAGCTGAATGCCAAGGAAATCAGGACCTTGTTCTTGAGCCAGGATCTTGATGGCGTGGAAGAAGACAAGGACAGCAGCGACGACGGAGACGACAACGACGGAGACGACAGCGACGGAGACGACGGCGACGGTGCCCACAGTAATTCGTCGAGCTCTTTTGGCGGCGGTGCATCGTCAGTGTCTGCTGGTGGGAGGAATCTCGTGTATGTGTGTGCTCTGGTGCTGCACCTGCTTGTCCTTGTTTATTTTTGACTGATATGGCTGAAGAGATGCATTATATAAGTTCATATATATTTATGAGTGGTTGAGATGCTAAGCACGCCGTAGCTGTGTGCCTGCACGTTCAGAATATATGTTTACCTTTCTTTTTTTTTTTATTATTGGCGTTTTGCGATACTGTCGAGCTTTTGAGGAGGAAAACACGGGGCGTCCTCAAAAGCGTTCTTGTTTATGTAGAGCCGCACCTTCATACCACAATGTGCGGAAAGCAAAATATTTTTTCAGTTATGTGGGAATAAGTGGATTTATTGTATGAAGGATAGGGTTTATGTAACACCAACAGCTGCGCAGAGCTATGGAGGCAAGAACTGTGTTTCCTTGCAGCATCCCTTTTTTTTTTTTTTGCACCACAAGTGAACGTAGTGGATCAACCGTATGTGTTTCATTAGTGGTATTTTTTACAACAAAGAGTTTTTTTTTGTTTTTTTTCTGGGATTTAAATGCGCGGTATATTGTGATCTGCTGGGGAGGGGGGAAGGTGCGCTGTTACCCCGCTCTAATTCTCACTGTCGTGTGCGTGCTGCATTTTCCGTCTTTTTTTTTTGGATGACAGCACCTTTAAGAGTGTTCTTTTCTGCGAAGTGAGAAGCTTGTTGTCCTTTGGAAGGTTGATTTTCAGCGGGTGTGCGGGTCTTGTGCGCGGATGTGGCCGAAGTTTTGGTGTTGATTGCCGCTATTTTTGCCAGCACCATCTCGAAAGCAGGGAAATCTCTTTTTTTTCTCTTTTTTTTTTTTTTAAAGAAACGGTGTCTCTTTTGTTTTTACATATTTGGGCCTCCGAGTCAGCAGTGAAAATATCGCCGGCGCCTTGGCTTGCCGTTTTGGTCTGCATTGTTTGTTTGCCCAATGGTCAGACGGCTCAAGAGACTCCCGTCAAGCATTACTGCAGCGCATCACTGTGGATGCAGGGCTGTGCGCTGCCAATTTCGCGGTGGCTGCGGCTGCACCGCACAATTACCCGCCCAGGTGTGCCCACTTCACGCGGAATTGTGACGATACGCGAGGAGTCAATGTAGCGCGGCTTTGAAGCTTTGGCCGGAGGCTGAGACAAAACCGCCGCGACACCCACAAGACATTGGGCGCGGGCTCTGTAGGAGCAGTCAAGCCGCCCGGGCTTGGCTTTCCGACGTCGGACAAGTGAGTGGAACCTGCGTTGTGCTGAGGAGGGTCACAGCCTTGACTGGCCAAAGGTGTAGACACTGCGGGGGTGCACTAGATCATACTGGCGCCAAAAAATGCGCTTTTGATTGGCACTTCAATCCTTATCCAGCGATTTCGTCCTTTGCACGCATAGGGAGAGAAGGTGATCTCTCATCTGCGTATTTCTGCCGCATCATTGCTGTTTTCTGCAGCAGTGTGATTTCACCAATAATCTGAGGAGCGTTGCACACACTGCGGTAAACTTCTTTCTTCTCCATGTTGCAGTCATGAATGGGTTGAAACGACGACTGTCTGTCGGCTGCTACTGCCGTTGTTGTGAGGCGACTGCCCGCGTCTTTGCGGAGGACACTTTCTTACCACACAATGTGACGGACGTGCACATGCAACAAGGCGCTAAACTCTGCGCTGCGGAGAGCGAATCGGCCATTCATTTTCCCAAACATGTTTATGAGAGGGACGTAGGGGTGGCCACTTGCTTTCTGCAGGAAGGCAATCGACTCTACCACGATGCGCTCATATGAATGAGTATATTTCTTTCTTTTCGTGACTCTTATGCGTGCAGCGCGAGGTCTGTCTTTGACATACATCGGATCACAGCTGGCAACTGTGTCGTACGCAATGTCACATTTTATGTCGACACACACACGTGCCGAGTGCGAGCAAAGACAATATCAAAAAATGCTCAAAAGCACATCCGTGAGTGCTGCAGCAAATTGGCACGGATGCTCTCTTTTTATTTTGTGACGGGACAATGCGATGGTGCGCCCTGCGCCTGTTGCCTGCGCTCTCATAGGCACGTTCTGAAATGGAGCGCGTCGTTTTGCGAAAAGGCTCTGTGTGTCAACGCGACAGGGAAACACGGTTGGCGGTGGCAGGAGTCCCTCCCGGAACGGCACTAGAGTGCCGGGTTCCCGGTGTCGGTCGGTCGCCGAGGTGGGGACGGCTCTCAGGGATTGCCCCGAGCATTGCTTCTTAATGCCGTTGTTGTTGTTGTTGACGGCAAATTTTTGATGGGAGAGCGAGAGTGTGCGTGCCGCCGTGGGATTTCTCACAGTGGGAACTCGTTGGAGCGATGCATGTGCTTTTGCCTCACGGATGTGGTGTTTTGGATCCCTATTTCACGCTATTCGGTGCCGCAGAAGTGGACGGTGACGTGATGCTGTCACGAGCTGCACGGGCGTGGTGGACACGGTTACATGAGCCTGTGGAGGACCCGAGCAATTCCAAGTGTACTATGCGGTTTGGGTCCACAAAGAAGGAAGAAGCACCGGGCAGCTGAGGGGAGTTGCAATGCACGCGGCTGCGGAAGGCCACACGCATTGTTTGGCTCACGTTGACTGCCACTTTGGGGGCTTTTTCTCGAGGCTGGGAATCCTTTTCGTTATTTGGAGGTAATTGATGACACCAATCGTGGAGGGCGTTTTCCTCCATACGAGGATGACGCACGGGAGACAAGGAAGAAGGAGAGCGACGCCTCGCCGGAACGGCGGCCGCGGTAACGTCGGCGAGACTCGGGATTGTTTGCACGGCCAGCCGCATGCCCTCTGCCGGATGTTCCTTGAGGCGTTCATTGGCCCGAGTGTGAGACACAGGCACCGAAACGACCGTCTCATCACTTCTCCGTTGCAAAAATGAGACGACGCACGTCAGGCGTGGCAGGTGACACCCTCTGCGAACCTCCTCTCTCCTCTGTTTCAGACCTCGGCATTTTCTGCATGTGGACAGCGCTCCCATTGGCCGTCTTCTGTGACACGAGAGCCGCCTGTATTCCTCTCCGTCGCATTGAAGAGTCGTGAGGAGGGTTGAGGCTGCGTTGAGGAGCCGTGTGGCCTCTGCGAGCATTTCCACTGCCATTCGGAGGTGCTGAATTTTGGATTGCCGAAACGCCACTTGAGTGCTTGCGTCTGAGGCTCGCATGACTGAGCAGCAAACGTGTTTGCGGAGGTGAAGGAGGGCCACGCCATTGGGAGGAGGAAGAGTGAATGGGTGGGTGGGTGGTGTCCGTGGCCCATATGTGGTGCCCGACTGGCGCTTCACGTTGTTTGGTGCTGTTATCACTTGCATCCACAGAGAATGGCTTTGGCTGCAGCGCCCACGAGCTCCTCTGTCGGTGGTTGAATGAGGTTGCTCTAGTGCTGTTTCCCCCAACTCTCTCGGTGTCTGTGCGTTGCGTGTGTTGTGAGCATGACTCTTCTTCCGTGCTGTGCATTTGCCTCATGAGCCGCCGATGGCCTTTGTGGCATATATGACGATTTGCCGTATTTTGTTGGATTGTGCCCTGGCCTCCGCCGCGGAATGACGGTTTGACTGGAGGCGTTACTTTTTCTTTATTGTGATCACGTGCGATGTGTATGGGAGGCCTCTCGGGGAAGAGCAAGTCGACATTGTTGTGAAACGCATGTATGATGCCACACTCCTCATTGACGCGGAATGAGTTGAGGGTTTTGCATATAAGCTCCTGTGCATTCTTGCCGTGGTGCTCCTTATGCATGGCACATGGCGACGACTGGCTGAGAATGTTCAGAGGGTTTATCAATGAGCCGAGGGGAGCATAGCGTTTTTCGCTCATTAAGAGCCCGGGCGTCACGGATGATGCATGAGGCAAGCAGAACCTCGTGCATGGCGGAATGAAGAGACGAGGGGCTGATTGTTTGATTGTTACTGACGAGCCCTGTCTCACTGCCTGGAGGGGGCTGTTGTTCGCTGGGGCAACCTGTTCTGTGTGTCCAGACACTCCTTGCGCCGAGTGGCGAGGCGCCGTGTTGGTGTGTGCGGCACCGTCATGCGGAGCAGCAGTGTGACGTTTACGGACTGCGTGCCTGTGAGCTGATGAATGTGGCGGGAGGCGTGTCTGAGGAGAATCCACGAAAGGAGGAGCGACATGCGTTTGGCGGTGCTGCTGTGCGGTGTGCGAGGGAGGAAGAAACACAATTGCTTTCTGACATGTCTGTGAGTGTGCCACGTCCACCGATGAGATCTCAGGGAGAGGGACAGGAGGGAGTGAGACGGAGACTGTGCGCACCCACCGCGGCGAGTGGTGCCAGAGGATGCGGTTGCCATTACGACGGGTGCAGCGGCCGCCATGCGTGCAGGAGGGCGTCACCTGCATCATTTTGCCTGCAGAGCTTACAGGTGCTGCGAGGAGGTGCAGACGACCTCTCGTTATTGGGACGCTGAGGCTGGTCTTTCCCTTTCTTGAGCGGGAGAAGCAACTCTTCTTGCACGTGACGTGCTGGTCTGCATCGATGCTCCCAACGGGGTGTCACGCAGCCGTGCCGTTGCAGTGCAACTCTCGCGCTCCTCACTGCACACGTGGCTCCCTGTCGCTGGGCTTATTTGCAGCGCCATGGCCTGCGGTACCCCATTGGGAGGCTGCTCACTTGTTTTTCTTAATTTTTGTGTGCTGTTGATGGGGGTACTGGGGAGTAATGGCTGCGGGGATGGTGATTTTGTGTTTTGCTTTGAGTGGTGGCGGTGTGTACTGCTGTTGTGTTGCCTTTCTGCAGCTGTTGCCTGTTGCTCCCCTCCAAGAAGGAAGTTACTACCAAGCGCTAAACGCTACTGTGAGATTCGAGGGCTCTGAAGGACCAACAACACACACACACACATTTATATGCTCTCACGTGTTGCTGCGGTGAAGGCACCCCGCACACACAACCGTCGCCGCGTGACCGGATCCAGCGGAAGGAGGAGGGAAGGAGGAGAGAGTGAGCCGCAGAGGCCCAACATGTCCCGGCGTGTGTTTACTTCCGCGGTGCTCCTCCTCGTCGTGATGGTTTGCTGTGGCAGTGGAGCTGCGCACGCGGTGGAGAGTAATTCGGGGGATGCGCAGCTGCCGAATGAGGTTGCTATTCTTGTGCCAGAGAAGACGCTGGTGGTGTCAAAAGGTGGGAAGGGCCAAAGTACAACGAGGAACTCATTTGCCGCTCCTTCTCTCGTCCGCGCTGGTGGAGTAATGACTGTGCTTGCCGAGGGTTGGATCAAGTATACTGGATCGCACAAAACATCGAGTGAGCTTGGTTCTGCCGATATTGTGGCTGGGTACATCAGCGCTGCGGAGACGTGGCCATCCATTGTCGCTGAGGTCACTAGCACGGAATGGAGGGTACACACTGTCCTTGGCGATGGGAATGGCGATGATCTTGTGGGCGTTTTGCGAAATCCCACATCAGTTGGAGTGGACAATAAGGCGTTTCTACTTGTGGGAAACTATAGTATAAAATTTGACGCTACTAAAAATATTTGGCAGGAGGTTGGCTGGGATATTCGAATGCTTGTGGGTGAGGCCACGCACTCCTTATCCAGCGGTCGGGGTG